GTTTTGTACAGCTTCATATTGTAGGCCATCTGTGTATGTTTCTTTCTTTTTCTGGGGTCAATTACATAGAAATAAAACAATTGCAGATCCCACATTCCTGCCTTTCTAGCTCGTATACAATAAATGCTTGGTATAATCATGGATTTTTTTATGTAATCTTGATTTATATATGTACTTTGCTTTCTGGATTGTGTTATCACATATTCGATGCAATAAATGTGGCTTGCTGAAGACATATTTGCTGTAATCAATTGCTAGAACAAGCTTTTTATTATCATCTGTTGTATATGTTTCTAATGCTTTTTGTCTGAGTTTAAGGTCTAGATGTAAAAAGTTGTATGCCCCGCATCTTTTACCTAGAAGCTGTTGAATCCTGCTTATTTGTGTGTACCCTGCACTGGTATATGTCGTTCATGAAATTTACACAAGTATTGGTCTCGTTCTTATCCACTTGTTCCATCTTTCTTTTGTGGTTCGATTATCTTGTTGCAGTGTAAATTGTTTAAATGGGTCCCAGAAGAGCTTTGGTCATTTATCACAGGTGCCGTCTCCTGTTGAATCTGATGAGCTGTCCTCTTTGACAAATTCTCAATGCACAAGGCAGAGGTTAGTTAGATCTCACTTAGTCAATCATAGCACATATCTTGAAATCTAAAACCAACTCCTGACCTTAAAATTATATTTATTGGAACAAGACACTTAGAAACCTAGTCCTTGCTAACGACCTTAATTTGTTTTTCTATTCATGGAAGTCTTTTTTATTCAACATCTGGTTGTGCACAACAACTACATGGCAAGTATTATGATAGAAGACTTAAGACCTTCCAAGAAATACCTTTAATTTATCTGCAACAATTTTTTTTTAAATTCAACTTTTTTAAAAAAAACTTCCAGAGCAATGTGATAATATGCTTTCATGCTGTTGGCATCCTTTTGCAGGCATGAATTGGCTGAAGTATAGAGGCACCGAGGAAGCAGTCTAACAGTGAAGTTCACTTTCATACCTCCTTTGCGTTAACTGAAGCATAGAGCGCTTGAGGAAGCAAGTCTAACGGCGATATTAAATCCTCTGTATAGTCTAGTAATACAAGTAAATCCTCTGTATAGCTTTAAGTCTAGCTGACTCAAAAACATACATTTTGGCAAGCAACTGCAATGGTGGTTACCTTGTCGGCTTCCCTATTGCATGAGCAAAATCTTGGATACCTCTGCAGATTCTGCTTCTCGCTTTTTGTTTTTTTGTTCTCTACTATATGAGAAGCTATTTAATTTCTTATGTGATCTTTTTTTGGGGGAAATTACTGTTTGATGTATGCTATAAGATGTAATTTACATCTGCTTCGCTAGTTATGTTCCTTCCAACGGTTTTATTCGAAAATATCAGGTTCAATTGACTTTTTACTCGTTCTCACAATTGCGGGTTTTCTTTTTCTTGTTCCCACAATTGCAGTTTTTCCCCTCTTTTCTTCTGTGTTCTTTGTCAGTGTTCTGCTGTGATCCGCAGGCACTTTCTTTATTAGGCAGAGGAATTTGCTGATACTGATTCGAATGTTGCGATATGCTGGTATCTTCAAACTGATTGCCCTGTTCCAATTTTCAATATGCTAAGAATTTGAAGGAAGTAGAGACTTCATGCTTTTCGTTGTATCAGCTCTCACGGTTATTGCGGAGATATGTTTCTGAATTTACTAGCAAGAAACGAACGCAGCGATTATCACGGATAATTTATTAAGTTTTCGGATGATATTTGTGCACTCTCTTCAATCACGTGATTGAAGAGTTCCACTCTAGTATGAATCCGGATCTTTAATGTGAATGAGATATTTGTTTCCTACTTGTTTCCTACCTCATTGCAGTGTACATATATATACAGCTTCTCAATAAAGGCAATTTTATGGCCTGATTGGTAAATTTTTTAGAGATTTGGTGACGTGTTGGTATATATTTTTTTAGTTTTGTCAGATTGGTATAAATTTTCGACACCGGTGCTATATAGATCTTAAATTTGGCCGGAGTTACTGTTCCGACCAGGGCTGATGGGATTTTTTACAAAAAAAAACTTAATCAAATACAATTTTCTGCTCCTAACCCCTCTCCCTCCTCCTCCTCATCCTCTTCCTCCTCCTCCTCCCCCTCTTCAACCTCCTCAATCCCTAGACGATATTGGGTGACGCTTGTGGTAGTCTCAATTCCTAGACGATATTGGGTGACGCTTGTGGTAGTCTCAATCCCTAGACGATATTTTTGGAGTTGGAATATTCTCAACACGTGATACTGACCAATTATTGGATTCTGTAGTTTCAAAGATCAGTCCAGGCACCAAAGAGAACTTAGATGATGGTGAGCCCCATCACGGGCTTCACCACCAATAAATTATTAGTGCATAGTATTTTCCCAAACACTATAAATAGGCCCACAAATCTTCAGAAAAAAAATCATCCAAAAAACAACTATTCTTATAGAAGAGTAAGAGAGAGAAAAGAAAGGCAAAGAAAAAACCTTAGTGAGAGAAAATTGTGAGCAATTGAAATTGTGAGCAATTTTCACAGTGAAATTTGGGATACAAGTGTGTAAAAAAAATCTTGTAAATTTTCTTCTCTTAGTGAAAGATCTGCAACAGCTCGTGGACGTAGGCAATTTTGTGCCGAACCACGTTAAATTTGTGTGTCCTTTTATTGCGCATTTATTTCTCTCTTAAATTTGGTTATAAGAGAATTTTATGTAATTTCCCAACAACTGGTATCAGAGCTTTGGTTGTGATTTCTGTCAATTTTCTGTAAGGTCACTATTCACATGAATAGTAAATTTTATGAATAGTGAAACTTTACCGGCGATACCAATTTGTCGGCAAAGGTGTCTTAATACCCGGTGGTTTGCATAAATTGTCGGAAACGATCTAGAGGAAGTCAGATCCAAGTGGAAGCAATGGATGCAGACGAAGGGAATGTGAAAATTAAGAAGTTCGATGGTACGGACTTCGGCTTTTGGAAGATGCAGATCGAAGATTATCTGTACCAGAAGAAGCTGTATCAACCTCTTTCAGGAAATAAACCAGATGACATGAAGGATGAAGAGTTTGCTCTTTTCGACAGACAAGCCCTTGGAGTTGTCCGATTGACGTTATCCCGCAACGTTGCTTCAACATAGCAAAGGTAAAGACCACGGCGGGTCTTATGGCGGCTCTCTGCAGCATGTATGAGAAGCCCTCCGCCTCAAACAAAGTTCACTTGATGAGGCGGCTGTTCAATTTGCGGATAACAGAAGGCGCATTGGTAGCTCAACATCTTAATAAACTCAATACATCACAACCCAGCTGAGTTTAGTTGGAATTGAGTTTGATGAAGAAGTACGAGCATTGATATTTTTGTCTTCTCTACCAGAAAGCTGGAATGCTACTGTCACAGCTGTGAGTAGCTCGCTGGGAAGCAATAAGTTAAAATTTGATGATGTTCGTGATCTGGTTCTCAATGAAGAAAATTGGTGGAGAGAATCGGGTGAAGCATCAACCTCCTCAGCCTTACACACGGAGTCTAGAGGGAGAACTTTAGAAAGAAGTTCAAATCACGGCAGATCAAAATCTAGAATGAGCAAATCTAGATCGAAAAAGAAAGATTTCAACTGCTATAATTGTGGTAAGAAGGATCATTTCAAGAGGGAGTGCCGGACATTGAAGAAAAATACCGACACACATGAGTCTGCTAACGTGACCGAGAAAGGAGGTGAAGCTATGATTCTAAGCACCAACAGTCCGATCGAATCATGGATTTTTGATTTAGGGGCATCCTTCCATGCCACCCCATGTAGAGAAATCATGGAAAACTACGTCAGTGGTGATTTCGGAAAGGTACATCTAGCAGATGATGAAACCTTAAAAATCGTTGGTAAGGAAGATATTCGATTAAAATTACCAAATCAGACCACATGGAAGCTGTAAGGAGTGAAACATATTCATGGCCTTAAAAGGAATTTGATCTCTGTAGGACAGCTTGATGGAGAGGATTATTGTTTAACCTTCTCAGGTCATGAATGGAAGATTACCAAAAGGAGCACTCGTCATTGCTCAAGGTAAGAAAAATGGTACTCTCTATGTAACCTCTAACTTAGAGAATATTATTACAGTAATAGATGCAGATGAAAAATCAAACCTATGGCACCAAAAGCTTATCCATATGAGCGAGAAAGGGATGGAGACACTTCTGTCGAAAGGGAAGCTGTCGCATCTGAAAATTGTAGATGTCATCCTATGCAAGGATTGCATCTTTGGCAAATAAAAGAAAGTCAGATTTGCAAAGATTGATAATACACCCAAGGCAGAAAAGTTAGAACTGAATCATACCGACATATGGGGACCATCTCTAGTTCTATCTCTTGCAGGCTTATTGTACTATGTCACCTTCATTGTTGATTCTACAAGGAATACATTGGTCTATTTTCTGAAGAAGAAATGAGAAGTTTTTCATACCTTCAGAAAATGGAAGGCCATGGTGAAAAATGAAACTTGTTTGAAGATAAAGCGGTTAATGTCAGACAATGAAGGAGAGTACAAAGATAGTATATTTAAAGAATTTTGCGCAAATAACGGGATCAAGACGGAGAAAACAATTCCCATGACACCACAGTAGAATGGCGTAATGGAGCGCATGAACAGAACTTTGAATGAACGTGCCAGAAGCATGAGGATACATGCTGGCTTGCCCAAGTTCCTATGGGCTGAAGCTATTAATACTGCAGCCTACCTAATCAATCATGGGCCCTCAGTTCTCTTGGACGGTGGGATACCGGAAGAAGCTTGGAGCAAAAAAGAGGTAAACATTTTGCATTTAAGAGTTTTTGGTTGTATCTCTTATGTACACATAGATTTTGCTGAAAGAAATAAAGATGCCAAATCTAACAAATGTGTTTTTGTTGGTTATGGTGGTGATGAGTTTGGTTACCGGTTTTGGGATTATGAAAATCGAAAGATCATCAGAAGCAGAGATGTCATATTCAATGAGAATGTGATGTACAAGACAGATCAGGTGCAGAATCAAGTAGCTCCAGTACAAAAGCTGAAATCAAGGAATTTATTGAATTTGAGGAGATTTCTAAAAATGATGTTCAGACTAGTCCTGAAGAAGTTCAAGAAGAACCAAGCATGCCAAAAGTGAGACGCTCCTCCAGAATTCCTAAGCCAATCCAGCGTTATTCGCCTTCTTTGCACTACTTGTTGCTGACTGACAGTAGTGAACCAGAGTGTTATGATGAAACAATGCAGGTGAAGGATTCAGTCAAGTAGGAGTCTGCTATGCAAGATGGGATGGACTCGCTTATGTCAAATCAGACGTGGACTTAGCTGAATTACCACCATATAAGAATGCTCTTCATAACAAGTGGATTTACAGGATCAAAGAAGAGTATGATGAGAACAAGCGCTACAAGGCAAGATTGGTTGTCAAAGGCTTTCAAAAAAAGGAATGTATTGACTACAATAAAATTTTCTCTCCGGTCGTGAAACTGACTACAATCAGATTGGTGTTGAAAATTATAGTTGCTGAGAATTTATATCTTGAGCAGTTAGATGTAAAAATAGCTTTCCTTCATGGTGATTTGGAGGAAAAGATCTATATGAAGCAACCAGAAGGCTTCATAAAGGAAGACAAGAAAAATCTAGTATGTCGTTTGAAGAAGAGCTTGTACGAATTAAAACAAGCTCCCAGGCAGTGGTACAAGAAGTTTGACAGCTTTATGGGTAGTAACGGTTTTACTAGATTCCAAGCAGATCATTGTTTCTATCTCAAGAGGTTTGACAATAGCTTCATTATTTTATTGCTCTACGTTGATGACATGCTCGTTACATGGTCAGATCTGCAAGAGATTATAAATTTGAAGCAAAAATTATCAAAATGGTTCGCAATGAAAGATCTTGGCGCTGCAAAGCAGATTCTTTGAATGAGGATCAATAGAGACATTAAGTCTGGGACTTTGATGTTATTACAGGCTGAGTACATCAGCAAAGTACTCTCCAAGTTTAATATGCAAGATGCTAAACCAGTGAGTACACCTTTAGGTATTCATTTCAGACTTTCCAAAAAGCAGTCACCAAAGACAGAGGAAGAGCATGCACACATGGCGAAGGTCTCGTACGCCTCAGCAATTGGAAGTCTGATGTATGTCATGGTTTGTACAAGGCCATATATTGCTCAAGCAGTGGGAACTATTAGCAGGTACATGAATAATCCAGGCAAGGTACACTAGGGAGCAGTCAAATGGATCCTCAGATATCTACGGGGCACCACACGTAAAGTACTTTGTTTCAAAGGTGGAGATACAATACTAACAGGTTATATAGATGTTGATTTAGCAGGAAATATTGATGTCAAAAAGAGCATTACAGGGTATGTCTATACTCTAGGAGATATTAC